CCATGAAAGTTGGCCAGTATTGTGACCTTACACGTACATGAAAAAATCACACAACACGATGGTTTAACAGTTTGGAGCCATTACCAGTAAGTGGCAGAGAAATTCCCTCAGAATCTGCTCTTCCTGAATACAGAGTCTTCTTCATTCGCTTGGTCAGCTCAACATGGACAGGAGAACACTGTAAAGTAAGGATAGGGTGAAACATCATATCATCCACTGCAAACTTCTGGGGTCAAAAGCAGGGTTACATGAATTTTCCAAATGGTCATTTTCCAATAAACAACTTTGTCTCCATCTCAGGCTTCGTACCAGGGCTCGAAATTAACATGTGCAGGTACTGTAGCTAAAATGTGCCTGTGTGCCTCAGAAATGCACCTGTAAATCATAATGACGGGCGCAAGTACTTAAGCCGGTTTGATTCCATGTACCTGAACATTTTTACTGTTTGTTTCTACTTTTGTCATGAAAAATACCTGAACCTTTTTCATTTCACTTCAGATCAGCCTTGTCACGGAACAATAACACGGTAAAATTTTGTTTACTATGCATGCACACACATGAATGTACACATATGCATACCCATGCTAGTGTCACGATTGTATGGAAACTGACCCCTCATGTGTAAATTCAAGCGAAACGAGTGGATTCGGCTTAAACTTCAGTTTCGCTGGTTCCAGTCATAGCTTGAACATGTGGTTTTGAACCATGCTCCAAAATAGCTGGAACCAGCAAAACCAAAGTCTCAGCCTAATCCTCTCATTTCAAAAACACTAGATTGCTGCGGTTAGTTCACTTTACATCTGCGTGTATATATGCACGTTAGAAAAGCCCAGTGCCCAACTTTTTGCGTAGAATCGCTAAGCACGTTTGAGATTCCAGCTGGTCATGTACTTATTACTACTAGTTGTACGTCGCATGCAACCCGCAAAAATAACAACTCCATCAAAGCTTTAGTATCTGCCAAAGTCTAGGCCGTAAACTACCAGTGTCACTAATTTAAATAAAAGCAACGGCAAGGACCAGGGTCTTTCCTTTTTTTCTTGCACATATATCTTTAATATCGTATGGGAACTACTTGCTCCCGAAAAGTGACAAATTCAGCTGTCTAGGGAGCACGTACTTGCTCCTGTGATGATTAGCCCCATTTCGAGCCCTGCGTATGCAACAACAATCCCTGATTGTAGGCCTGAAGCGCTCAAATTAAATTGAAGTACTGTAATACTTTGCTCTTTTAATCTTAATTGATGTTCCTGTACCATTATTGAGCTGGCAACTTCAAAGTCAGATGGAAAAAAAAAGATGATGCCTGAGATGGAGTCGAGTATTGGAAAATGACACATCAAGGAATAACTACATGTATAACCATGTTCACATGGTGGGTTGTTGGTCAAAAATCAGGTTTTCTCACAATCTGCAGTACTAACTTTACAAAAAAACAGGGTTTACATAAAAGACAAAACATTACCTTTAGTTGCACTCTTTGGGAACTGACCTGTTTTGTATGAATAAAAATGGAGGGGTCCCAAAGAAGCACAAATAGACCTACACAATCCCCCATAGGCCTAACCACCTAACACCTACTTTTAAAGTTTGCTGCTGGTGCTGGTTTGAGTTTATGACAATCAAAATGGGGATGGTTCGATATGCAATTCTTTCCCAGGCCTTGAAATGAATGACAGTCACGACGGCCAGTGCCGTCACCACCCTTCTCACTGGCCGAGATGCCCCGTCCTCATGGCCAGTTTATCCTTGCCCTATATTTACCGTGCCCCTTTTCCACAAACGTCCATAAGCCTTTTAAAAATATGAAAATCCTTGGTTAAAGATGCTTGCAAAGACACTGAAAGTGTATTTTGATGTCTTGCCAGCCCGATCAGCTGTCTTAAAATCTCCCACAATTGATGCACACAGATATTGCAACGCGTGAAGCGGGCTAGTAACCGGCTAGTTGCTGGCTACTAGCCGGCTTTAATTAGGTGATTACTGGTTGGAAATGGCACATGGCTAGCGACAATGTTATAATGTGCATGTACAGTGAGTGTAGTATATCGGCACTAGACTGATTACCACATTTCCATTATATGTTCTTTTGCATGGGCAGCATGCGGTGCGGCAGGACCAGTGCATCATTGGTTTGATCTTAGAGGAAGGACACAGAAGTTGCAACTGGCACTTCAAAGTGCTCGATGATCATCGTCATCCAGTCAGATGAATAATAGAAAAACAATAAAAAAATGCCTGATTGCTGCTTGCAAGTTAGCTGGACAAGCGGGGCCAGTAATATCCTTGCAATAGTTGAAGTGTTTTACTTGCAAATTAAATACAAATTATTGTTGTGACAAGGAAATACATGTAGAGAGACAAAAAACTCTGATGTACGGCCTACTCTTCATATTCTGAATTAGTGAATCAAGTTTTGTTTAGTTTGATGCACTGTTCCATTATCCATGCGAAGTTTGTAATTTTATTCCACTCCCTCTGGTACATCAGGTTTTTAGACATGGTACGAAGTTAGCTAAGACCAGCCAACAAAATGTTGACCATCACTGGAAAGCTCAGTTCATATGGAACAAGATGCACTACTCCATCACAGGGGGTGATCATGAGTTCTTCAAAAATATATTTTGTACAAATTCCATAATAAAAATGATTCAAACAGAACAAAATCTTGTAAGTAAACAACATGGCTACTTATTCCCCCAAAAAATCTAGCAGAAAGCTTTCTTTAAAGGCAAAACCTGCACATGTACATTTAGGGCACACAGCGTAACACAAGCTACTGCGGGAGCATTAAATTTGATGTTATAAGATCACACTAAGCACCAATAAATACATGTCAGTGAATTTTAATGTCCTATACTTCAGTACACAATGTTTAAAGATGCAGATTACCACCAAAAAATTGTGGCGGCGATCATATGGTATACAGTTGTTAAACAGATGCAAAGCAAGCGATCGCTGCACTCTGGCTCTGGACATACAGGACCTGACAGAAAGCAGTAAGTAGCCAGATGTTATAGCCCGAGCAGTTCAAACTCCTTCTGCATCCTTCCTCTATGCTTTGATGCATTGAGCTTTGCACATGTGTTTTCACAACAGTAACAGCGAAATACACAGGGAACTTGTGAAAATAATAAAACTTTCTTTTCAAAAGTTGCAAATTATGAGTGTAAGAAGGAAAACATATAAATAAAGGTATTTTAATGTGAACAAAGGTTGTTCAGAGGTGATGTATAATGACAGAAAAGACAACAGGATTTTTAATTTTTTTTAATTTTTAACCCTAGGCCTAACCATATCATATTGAAATGGGAGGGTTTGGGACTTTACTGCTGGTTGGGGCTAACACATAATTTATTTTTTCTAACTTGCCGATAAAAATTTTAGGGTCGCGCAGAAAATTTGTGTCAATCAGGAAACCGGGGGGGGGGAACAGAAGGTTTTAGCATAATACTGGCATTTAGCCTCCATGCCCCTTTTTTAATTAATATTTTAGTCCTGGGCCTATTTGGCCTTGGTCACATCATGTTGGTGCCCTGTTAGTCTGAGGAACTTGGACCTTACAAATCACGTTTTATTATATTTGGACACAGTTGCCCACCTGGAGATCTTGATTTACGCTCTCTTTTTGCTTAGGCCTACCTAATAAACCTTTTCCACGTTCACAATGCATTGTGGGTTTGGATGACATACATGCAATGCATTTTACGCACAACCCTATGGGAGAAGTGTATCTGCAAAACATTATTTCCATTTTATTTCATACTCAAATTCAAGCCACCCACTTCTGACAAAGTGTTGCATTATTGATTTGGGACGAAGATATTCACAAACTTCGAAGTTTGAACCTTGGCAGAGAAGGAAAATTCAGAGAATTCCTTCCAACAAAACCCTTTATTTGTCCCGGACCGTGCTTTGACTAATTTGTGAATATTAATGTTCCAGTATTGTCCAATAAAAATTCCGACTTGCAGCTCATTCATCTCGCTTTGACCAGTCACGTTCATTTTCAGCCTGTAGATCGAGTGACTGGTGCCCTTGAAAAAGGCAATTAAGGTTGATTTGTTCTTAAAAATATTTGAAAACGTATTTGAAAATGTTTCTTGTATAACCCGATAATATGCATGCATCTTTGAGTTGATGAGTAGATACATAAAAAGATTTAGTAGAAAACTGTAACTTAATTTTCGACTGGGTCACTTCCCCCATAGGGTTGTGCATAAAATGCATTGCTTGCTTGTCATTCACACCCACAATGCAGTGCAAACGTCGAAAAGGTTCATTCATGGAGGAAGGACATGGAAAAAGGTCCATGGTTTATTCAAGCATGGAGGTAGAAAAATCAGGCCAAAGACAAAGTGGCCTTCCCTAAAAATTACCAAAGTCAAGCCCTACTTTCCCGAAACATAGGCCTGACTCAAAAAAATATATACATATTTTGACAAGTGGTACTGAGAGTGAAACCATTGCGAAAAATTTTGCAATCGTGAACGAACCGTTAGTAATGGTGATGATCATAAATGAGTCATATGACAAACGTGCACGTTGGCATGCAATGCATAGGGCCATGTTAATGTTGAGCCTGCGACTCGTGCATGGCAACAATTTTCGGAATTCAATATGCTCAATATTTTAGGCGTTTTCAAGTCCATGTTTCACTCAAAGTCAGCAAAAGTGCATCTATACTAACCTCCAAATTGTCAAAATCTTCGTAAGATCTTTCAATCTCATTTAACTGCCCTAAAAGTTCCATTTTGGGGGAGCAGTTAACCACCAACTTTCCACATAAAGCGCGCCAATACGTCAACAGACTGTACTATACTAGAGCTCATGCATTCATATCATATGCATGCACATTGTAAATGTACAGTGTACATGTACTGTACATGTACGTACATGTACATGTACTGTACATATGTGTATACATGTACATGTACATGCGCAGGCAGCCAGTGCTTGTAAAGCTACAAACCCGGATGTGATACACCCTTATATCATCAACACACTCTAATGAATAACCAGTACATTGGGAACGCCTACATATTTGCATGTATTAAATATGCAGATTAAAGTTTGTCATTGCCTGCACGGGGACCGGACGAGCAGGGGACCGGACGAGCAGGGGGCCGGGGACGGGGTGGCCGGGGAGAGACCGACCAATTATACCAAATATACATGTACATATGTACTTCAATTTGTCTTGAAGGATGCAGGAGAAATCTCTACAATTATGAAAGACTTTTAATTGCTTACAATTACATATTATTCACTCTTAAAACATTCATTCAGGCAGGAAATGCAATGACGTCATATTTTTTTAAATATTTTATTTGTGTTATGTTACAATGCTCGGTCCACAAAATATACATATATACAATAATTATGCTTTTAATTTGAAGTGCATATAGCAGTACAACACTTTATCAATTATAATTTTCAGCAATGTACACAAATATTGGGTGAAACATTACATTTAAAAAAACAACAACAAAATCTAAGCCAATTCACAGAGATGACAACTTAAACCAATTATTCCACATTCTATAAAGCATTGCCAGATTATTCTCATTTTGTATACATGAGTACCTGTGTGCTCATCAATACCAAACCAATGAATACCGGTAGGATGACTCAATACAAGCATTAAACTGTTCATGGTGAGCACCACAGTGACCAAGAAACTGTTGCCTGTCCTCAAAACTTTGAAAAGGCAAAACTTCTGCATTCAACTGATGGAGAATATCACTCCACATTCACGTCAAGGCCAGTTCATACTTCAGGCAAATACAAAAAACAACTGCAATTTGACATCATGAATATCTGCAGTGAAATATGCTTGAGTTGAAATGTGTTAAATTTTTGCTAATTTGCAGCACTAATATTTGATATCATGTTCAAATTTCACTTTTGCACGAAGTATGAACCAGAGTTTTTTAAAAGTTCATTAAACTCATGAACACAAGTTCCCAGGTGGGCAAGTAACATGTATAACTCACAGATGTCAAAGTTTTCAAATTCAAAGACAATTTTATGTGTGTTTTGTCCAGCTCTTTTGAGAAAAGGAAATGATTTCATGAAAATGTGAAGTAAAAATATTTCTGGGCAAATTTGAGGCAAGTATGATCAACTGAACATTGTAAAGCATTCACATCACATCCTTGTTTAGTAATCCAATCAAATCCTTCTGCTTTGCAGCCTCATGAAAATGACCACTGGTGTGAGTGGACCTTTTGAGTATTTCAAGAAATCACATACTTAGCTTCCTGTCCTAACATTACTTCAATACACAGTACCGGTAACTTGTCTGCGGTAACTTGTCTGTAACATTTTACTCTCATAGTCAAGTCCAAACTGTTGGACGTCTGTTTGTGTGTGAACATACTGGGCTCGGTACAGTTGTGAGCAACCATTTTAGAGTTTACAATGCAAAATAGTTCTTGAAATTCCACATTCAAAGAATTAGTTAACATGCCACTTTTTCATAATGACCTCCGAAACTTTCAAGTTTTGATCTTGTTGGCTACTGCAACAAGACCAATAAACTAGTCAAATACTTTATTATTTATATATGGACATTATGCATAAAGCTTTGGTTCTGTAGCAAGGCAATCTAATAAAATCCTTAAGTATATGGCAATTAATGAGCTAATAATGACTCCAAACACTTCTAAAGGGGCCACAGCATTATTCTAAAACATAAGAAACAGTGGAACATAATTGTTTTGCAAGATACAAATTACCTTTTAAATGGGGGAAATGCTTAGAAATGCCATTTCCTTTTATAATGTTAAAATGTCAGGCCTACAAACCTCTCACAAATTGTAAAAACACAAGACATACCAGAAATCCAAAAAATGCCATTGACAATACATAAGTTCTTGTTGACTTACTTTTCCTGGCCAAAGAACTGAAAGTTTCACTGTATCACTGATTTTTTTCGATGTGCATAACCGTCTTGAATAAGGTCTTTAGGGAAAAATTGCATCAAGGGAACATCTTGAACTATATGACAACACTGGGATGACATCATTATCTCTTACAGGCTATTGCACAATTATGTGACAGTCAAGATCAGAGCCAGAAAGACTAACAGACAAGCGATATGGTGTGTGTGAAACACAGATTCATCAATTCCGGCAAAGATCAGCTCAGTGTGACAATATCCATATACATGTACAAGTAACCACTGATTCAAAATTTGTAAGAACAGTCGCCAATTTGTGGAAGAAGTAAAAACAAAAAAAAACAAAACAAAACACACAAAACAGCGAAGACAACAAAAACAACTACATCTGCACTGTATTGTGCCGAGGGACCACTGGATGGAAAGGACACTGAATTACGCTCAACACAGCTCAAAGTATAATGAATTACTCTGCATAATCAATGCTATCTTTGGGACAAAGGCTCCTTAATTAGACCATGCCCTATTTCCACAGTGAACTTAGACTCTTTTCCAAAGTACAATTAGTTCTGAAATCTAAAAAAAAACCATGAGACCTGGGGCCAATTTCATAGAGATGCTTAGCACAAAATTTGCTCAAGTGCAAGAAAACCTTGCTTGATAAATCAGGTAACCAGCCAAATCCCCATGTGATGTATATTGTTTGGGGATTGTATTTAGCTGTCTCTTGGTTAGCATGACAACCAAATAGAGTTTGAGCTGGTAACCTTTGTTTTTTAAGCAACAGCAAGGATTTTCACGCTTAAGCAAATTTTGTGCTTAAGCAGCTCTGTGAAATTGGCCCCTGCTTAGAATGAGAAACAAATACTGCGAGGCCAAAAGACCACACATTAGGAGACACTCCCTCTACAAAATGCTTCAACTGCACAACATTTACTGCAATTCAGTTCACAAATGAGTGGTTTGACACATAAAGACCCAAAGCAAGTGTTCAGTAAAGACAGCATTTACGTTCCGGTGCACTGTTCTCTTATAAACATTAAACATATCATATCATGTGTTAATGTAACCTGAGTGCAAAGATATACACATCAAATTCCAACATGTGTAAACACCAATTTGATCCAAATGTGTGTTTAAATATTCTGTGGTGCAGCACTTTTCCATCGACAATCAGCCTAACATTCAATAGTGGTATCTTTGTGTCAGTATATGCCTCCAAAGTCACAACTACACTTGTGGGTAAACATGATTTCAATCCCAAGTTTTACATGTTTGACAGCAGAGGATCTCAATTTCCAGTATGCCACTTCCAATTGAATATTACAGTGTTATACATGTACATGAGCACCTTTCAAGAGCAATTTCAAAAAACAAACAAGAAAAACAGTCCAAAAGTACAAGGTTGTATGAGTATCAGAATAACATGGAAAAATGTCGCTATTACAAATTCATATAAAATACGAGCTTGCCATTACTAGTGAGTAAAGAGAGAGTGAAAGAGATTAGGCCCGAACTTGATAATGTGTAGCTAATGCCCAACAGGTTTGAATGAGAATTGAGAGACTCAGTCATACTTTAATCTAATGCTCTGAGAATGGACTGCTCTAAAGGCCAGTTCATACTAGCAAATGCAAGAACAAAGTGAATTGACGTCACGACAAATTTGAAGCAAAATTTTCCTCAATTTGAAGTGTGTTCAACTTTTACGGTTTCTTAATGCGAATAGTTGATCTGATGTCACAAATTTGAGTTTATTTTCGCTTTCGCACTAAGTATGAATTGGCCTTAACACTGGAATATCCTGGGGCAACAAGGGGCGTCTTGACTTTCTAGATTCCTACAGAACACTATGTGTCATCAAGGTAACCCTCCGCACGTTCTGATGGAAGTAAAACCTCTTGATGCCTGATACATGTACCGTACATGGATTTAATGGCAAAGGAAATTGAGGATCCTCCTTTATACATGGGAAAATACTGCTATCTTTTCTTTCACGAAATGCTTAATTACAGAGGTATTTTGGAGGGCATATGGTTGAATATATGTGGGTGTTTTACTCTGAATTTAAGAGGCCAGCTTTGAACAAGTGGGTGAAGGCAATTTCAACAATAGGCAAGACACGAAAATGTTTGAAAAATTTGTTAACACTAAACACCCAGTGCAGTACAAAGTCTTTGTATTGGCTTGCCTGCAACACAAATTGAGGTTAATCATAATAAGAGTGTGTTACTTTGGAAAAGTTATACATGTAACTTAGAAAGTCAAAACCAAAGCAGACTTTTATGCAAGGTGTAACACAGGTTGACCAATGAAAAACCTTTATTTGTTGGATTCAGACTTAACCTCATGCTGGGTATTCTGCTACACCACTCAGCTATATTTATGTTGATAAGCAATCCTGTGACAGAAAAATACCAAAATGCATTGTGTGCTGAAGGAAATTTTGGCTCACAGCCAAACAAAACTACACTTACGGTTCTTTTCTTCAGCAAGGTATACATTAAAGACCAACTCCAATGGTTTTAAAAGTTTTGAAAATGAACTATTATTGTGTTCAGTGTGTAATAAATTGTACATTCATTACCAAATCTAGTCTGGATAGTGTCTGCATTTTTTTTTTTATGATGATATACTGGAGGAAACATTGAAACTGGTATCCATGGCACGACAGGTTCCACTACAAACGTACATGTACATGAACATGGAGCTACATGTGCCTGCACTGTGTAGAGGGGATCGATCTGTGCGCCGGGTCTACTGTGCCGCATTATCTCTTTTCTGTTGAGAGTTTGTGCTCCTTTCTTCATAATTTACAATGATGCTAAAATCATGCGTCATTGGTGGATGTACTAGAAATTCTAGAACCGGGATTGAAACTCTTAGAGTTTCCGAAGAATGAGGGCATTCTTCAAGTTCATGCTGTTGACCGTGGCTACATGTGCTATGCATGCCTAAAGCGCACACACTGTGGTATTTCCTCTCCACGGTAATACATCACAAAAATCAATATTCATCAGAAGCTAATGAGTAGTGACAACACGTTCACTTTTACAATACCGGACTGGACTCGCAGGAAAAATGGGTACAGAAATTGTGTTTTATTAACACAAAAACGTGTATTGCAAGGGAGATATTGATATGCGCTACTTTTATTAGACTTGGCTCTTCTGGATTGGATTCAATATGAGAAAAGTTAACATCGTTGGAGTTGGTCTTTATAAGGGACAGTACCTGCAATGGGATCTAATAAACAGTTTATCCCAGGTGCTTCAAGTGAACACAAAATATACTAATTTTTAAAGATTTTTAGACAAGAAAAATAAATTCGCAGACATCTATTCTAGTGTTCTACTTGGGTCTGTAAGCCCTGCTGCTTACAAGAAGGACATCCTCAACTTCTTGAGTCCATGACATTGATCATTCGGTCAGAGTTGGTGACGCTGAACTGACGGATGTCAGAGAGTTTCATCATGAGACGAGGGAAGACCAGACGGTCATTGGGGTGATTCAGAAGGATTTGGGACTGCAAAGCTTGAACGACCTGCAGCTGTAATGTTTCAATCTCATCTGGAACTCGTAGTCCTGGCCGGTCTGTCAAATACAAAACAGTGGAAGGACATTTTGCTCATGTTTAAAAAATGAAGGCCTTAACCAGGTATGTTGGATTCTGTCTAGTGATTCTAAGTAACAGCATACCTCAAAAATCTCCCTTGTAATTAGAGAGATCCTCTCATTTTATGAAGACAGGTTGCAAACAGCGGACCTTTCTGTCCTCTGACTGTAACATTTTTCACACATCATCTGAAGTATCAAACTTCATGGAAATGTCTCTCTAAATACACAGGATGTAAACTTAATTTTAAGGTTGTAATCTCTGATGTTTTGAAAAGATAAATGGCACTTAATAGTGCAACGAGATGGACCTATATTGGCACAATTACCTGTGAATGGTGTAAATCGGAGTCATTTGACACTTCAATTTCAAATCAGTTTGATAATGAAATGAAATGAAACTAAAGCACTAATGAGGTCATGAGGGTTTACTCAAAGCAATTTGTCAAGCCATACCCGATCACTAGAGACACACCTGATAATGAGAGACTTTATGACCTACCAGCTGATAGCAAGATAACAGCAGTGAAGAGCGCCACCTCACAGTTGGTCAACTCCAGTTGTTTGAATTTCAAGCCAAACTCAATCACATCTTGAATGATCTCGATAAGTGGTGTCATTTTGATTCCACCTTCTGACATTTCCTGTATAGAAACACAAACAAACGTAGAAAAAATACAAATCTTCACCAATGGTATTTTAACACCTAACGACTGCTCAGGCCAAAAAATGTACCATAGGTGAAGCAGCAATTGTTCACCAAGGTTATAAAAACATTTACCAAACAGAATAAACTTGGATTTAATGTTCCATTCTTAGGATAATAAGATCTTAACTCCTATTCAATGTGTTTTTGGTCCATCCATACATGTATATTACAAAAACACTGTCTTGGATCACTTTTGAAATTTCACTTCACCAATCATCAACAGAACCAACCCAACCCACCAACCCAACCAACTCTTGATTGGAGTCTAATGATTTGTAGCATAATTTTTCTTATTTGCTGACTGACTAATTGAAACTTTTGATACAAAGCTGAAAATAAATACGTAGGAAGCATGGCTAATTTAAACAAATTACTTCATTAGGGAATAAAAATGTGCTTGGCCTTAATGTTTAAGACCGATCAAGCACATATTTATTCCAATTCATAAATACCTTTTTAGTCAGAAAGTCAAAAGAAGTCAATATATGATGGATTTCGAATGATTTTGTTCTAGAAGTTTACTTTCATTTTCCCGAACACCCCCGTCCATTTAATAGTGAGTTCCTTTTGCAAGTTGCCCAATAGAATCTCCTTGTATATGGACTTGGCTTGTGTGGCATATTCTGCGCGTTGCATGGCACGCAGACTCATGACCAATAGGGATGGAGTAAATTGTCTCGTGTCCAGTTACCAACACATGTTTTCTGCAGTGAGCATTATCACATCTCAGCCGGCAGCCGGCAAATGTTAATACAGAGACTGTCTGAGGTATTTATGAATGTATATCTAACACCCCCCTACAACAAATTTCTAAAAACTGTTCAAATACATTCATGAGAGAAGTGACTCACTAACCTTATGATATTCCATCAAATCACACATGCCATCCTTGACTGTAATCACATGGGCCAAACGAACCAATAGAACCTCTAATGAGCCCCCCTTGAGTAGCATGATCTGATCGTCTTTGTCCAGATTCAAGAAGCCAGGGATCATCTTAGCAAATCCAATGATGCGGGTGATAGAGGGAGTGAAGTTATTGGTCACTAGATCTGTGATCAGCTTGGTTTGAGTCTCACATCCATTTCTGTTCATCTGAAAGTTGGAGGAGAATATCAGCAAAATGAAATAAACCAATTCTAAATGAAAGAGAGAGAAATTAGTCTGCGCTTGCAAAAGCAGTCCAGACTAATTCCATGACCAGAATTAGAAATTATAACATTGACAATACTACATCCACAGACAGGTAAATCCTCAGTCAACAGGGTGTTGCAAACTGCTTAAATGCTAGTGCCAAAATGGGTGTGGTAAAACCTGACACGGTATTGGACGAGTTTTACCAAGCAGTTTAATAAACTTTGCAACTTCACCTACATGTACATGCATAACCCCTGGGATGTGGTACAGAAATATGTTTTCTTTACTCAAACTTTTAATTTAGTAATAATCAATGATTTTTAAGCTGAATCTTACTGTAGAGGGGAAATAGTCACTCCAACCACTGAATGTGAAGCCATCCCATAGAGTCTTCTTCTGAGCTTCATGGATACTGAGAATCAGCTGTTCCATCTTCATCTGACTCTCCTCTGGATTGACGATATACTCCCCCGAGGGGGATTTGGGTGGGGAAGGGATGGGCATACCTTGAGGCTTGCATTTCTTAGGGCATCGTCCGAGTCGCACAGCTAAAGAGATTGGAATTGAGAAATACAATCATACAAAAGAGACTTCCATAGCCACCAGGAGATAGTAAGGGCTAAGTCTCCAACTATTATTCACAGCAATAGTACTTTGTGATTGAATTTTCTGTTGAATGGTGGTGATGCTGAAGGTTACACCTGCTAATTACAGCAGCAATTACAACTCAATATTGAAACTTACTTAATCTGACTCACAGGTATGCAATTTGGACTTTGACAAAAAACGAGGAAATTTGAATCTTCACAAGACTTTGTACAGTGTTTTTCAGTTTTCAATGGCATGGGTGTGAAGTGAAAAACAAGGAAATCAGCTGATCCGAGGAAAAGCTGGAATAACTGATCCCTTTGCACTGTGCGTTAATTGGGGCTTTGGTGCAAATATGCACCAATAGCATAAATCAGGACTTTATGGCATCACATGAATCGTACTGGTACGTATGCATTATTTGGCTTGTTTCATTATTTTAAATATCTAGCTATCTCTCAACTTGTCCGAATCCCACTTATTGACTAAGAAAACAGTTTAGAGACATTTTGGAACAAATCCTCGGGTACCACTCCCATCAGCCATAATCAACTTGAGGAGTTACTATAAGCAAATTCTATCTTGGACACCACACAATATTCATTATGTGTACATCTCGAGAATTCTCATCTCTGCGTACCATCCTTGGACATGCCGACATACAGGCACTTCTTTAGACGACAGTACTGACAGCGGTTCCTGTTGATGCGCATGATGAGACACTCATCCCCCTTGGTGCAAACACGGTACTTGACATTCTGCTGGATGCTGCGACGGAAGAAGCCCTGCAGCAAAGGAGGAGGTGAGGGAAGAAACTGGAGATGATGCGAGGTCAGAATGAATTACAGAGCAGTGGGTCATTGGAGAAGTGGGTTGGGGGAGACTGGTGTTGGATGTAGGTCACACTAGTACATGTACATCAAAGGTGACAATCTACTTTACAAGGAAGGTGCCCCGAACAATGTCTCATAGAGTTAATGAAGGGTCATTCTCTTGGATCAAGTTTTGCTCAGCAAAAACAAAAACAAAAACAAACAAACAAGTAAAGTGTTAACATTCAAGAGAAATATTCATCTGAAGGGGCCTGGCTCATCAGAACTTCATTTAATTCCTGTCAAAGGTGAGGCAACAGATTTCAAAAATGCAAATGACTACGTTTATTTGAGATAACTGTTAGTCAAGCAGAGCCTACATAAATATACCTATACATGAAATTGTATGCTAAATGTAACAAAAATAAACAAATGTATAGAATTCGTGCTATGCTGAAAGCAACTTCATTTGACTTGTATGCATGGCATGTCAGATTGGTTGTTAGTATTAGGGGCCTTCAAGTTGAAGTTCAAAATTATTAGGAGCTTTGATTTATTTTAATTTCAGCATATGAACATGTACCAGTCTATGCTTCTTCAACAAATTTTATATCTACTGAAAATATACCAGTAGCATCTTTAGTGAATGGTAGAAGTCAAATACATGTAAAAGCCATTGGAGCAAAATATGGAGCCTAGACAACAGTTACATTGCTCATTAGCAGCCTCTGCCATCCTGTTACCAACACACGGTATTAAACACTATTAAAGCCTTTTCAAAAAGTAAAGAACGTACAGGTACAGTGTACATGTACGTGTATACTTACATGTAGCATAATTGAGGCCACGTATCACAAACGTGGGGTAAAAAAAATTTAATGTACCAATTATGCTAAATCTAACTCATGCAAATCATATGAACAACACGTGAATAACATTACTGCTTGATACAGAACCAAGTGAACTTTGCACCAATACAGGAATCACTCAAAGGTCATCAGGGAGGAGACAATTGGTACTTGAACTGCTTTCAGTACGAGCACGCATGACATCTATTTATATATTTGTGGGTAAACATCCATGTTTGTCACACTGAACTCAACCTACTGTACATGTAGAATGTTTGGAAAAGTTGAGAAACAAAAAAACAAACAAACACCCCCCCCCCAAAAGTCCAATATTTCCAATTTTATAAATGCTTCTTTTTAACATTAGTAACGATGGGTCTTTCTTTGGAAACTTATAATTTACGTACGGATGGACTCAGCATGCCAGAAAAAAGACAGGTAGTTGGCAATTACAACTCTAGAGATTTATAAAATGCTGAACAAAATATTCTAATTAGGACTCGAAGCAAACAGATGCTTATTATCTTGTCCATATATGCTGATGGATTGATATTAAAGATCAAGGTTACCAGCAACTACATTAGACAGTAAACAAACCTTCACAGAACCTTCATTTTCCCCTTGCGGAAAATGCTGGTTTAATCCCTTAAAACTGACTTGCTCTATTTCACCTCAGTTTATGATTTACGATTAAGTTTCCAATGTACCCAAATTTACAAACTTCAGGTTAAACACTGTTAAATATCAAGGCAAAGTTTAAATGCACAGTGAAAGTGTGAAGTTGGAGACTGACTGTCCTATCTGGTTAAAGCTTTAATTTTTCTGACCTCTCATTGGTTAAACCAGTAACCTAGGGCTAATTATTCCTATGTGTGTGTACATGTGACGTGTGTGCATTGATCATGATAATAACCTACGGTACCTAAAATGTTTTGTGCAGTATTTCCCTCCCAATATAATTTGAGAAAAGACTATTTAGCAGTCAGGCTATAATTAATGAGCAATGCGAATGCTCTTCTAAAGTTAACATGTTCTACTGGTACATGAAGTGCCTTGAGTCACGCAACCCAATTTAAGGAATTAAATTTGCAACTGGGCATATTAACACAACAAGCCCAGTTTGGTGTATTTTTGGCAGTAAAGCTTTTAATATGTAACTTCTTTTGAAACAATTTGTTTAATCTACAGTGACCTTCCTCTGTACTTTATCCATGACCATTATATCCTAACATCACCTGATTTATGACCCTGACAATGATTAACAAGATAACAACAGGCTCTGTCAGTTATTAAGGTCAAATGCAGTGCTATCAATCCAGTTACTGGTATATAGCAAGTCATTCACCTACCCTACTCCACACAGTGAATTCACAAGCTATACACGATACAGTATGTAAATCTAATGGACGGACTTAATTGTCTGAATGGGGTCAGAATGGGTGACAATTCATACAGCAATTCTACTTGTAAAAAACTTTCCAATGGACTCACAAAGGTCTTGATTTTATTCAAATGTCAAGTTTCAATCACCTTTCAAAAGTCTACTCATATTTAGAAGGGTTTCTGTTTCCAAACTGCATGTTTTTGTAACATATGCCATTAGCATAAACTTTCAATATTTCTCCAATCACTTCTCTCTTTTTCTCAGTGTTCTGTCTTTGTTATTCAGTTCAGATTCAACCTAATTCACTTTTAACATTGTAAAACACAGAAGCAGATTTCCAAACTAGTCCAGAGCCTCTTTTGGCCAAATTATAGTTTACTTTTTCCTGCAGTCAGAGTACTTCAGAGGCTTGTGTTAAATCACAAAAACAAACATCGCATATTACTAACAATGACAACCAGCTGCAAGTCTTCAAGATTTTTTCATTTAATCTCATAAAGAAAGAGTGTGCTCAATTATTCGCTTTGATGTACAACACTCCTAACATCTTAGTGTAATGAGGATGAAAAACATTTGAAGTTCATGCTCCTTCTGGTTTAATAAAATAGCTATCATCTGCCTTGTGTGTTGTGTTTCTTGTATTGGGTTACCTACGTATCTCCCCAAATTATTGCCTGTAACATTACCTTGCATCCTTCACATGCATGGACGCCATAGTGAAACCCTGATGCTTTGTCACCGCATACACGACACAAGACAGCGTAACCATAACCCCCTGTAATCACGCTCATTCTGCCCTGCAAACCAATCAGATGGAAAGAAAAATAAACCATCATGATGTTATTCTGCTAAACAAGCCAACTGGCAAACAAATCCAGCTGTAATATTACTTTGCAAATGCTAGAACACCAGCCTACTGAAAAACTTAATAAGCAAACTATCAATACTAAGAAATCAAAGAGAATACAAAAATGTCAAAACAAAGTTCTTTAAAGGGTACCTCTTTTGAAAACAAATTAAAGCCATGTGAAGCAGTAAGCTGTCCTGTTCAGAGGTAAAACCACATTCTGGAACTGTTCCACTGGATGTTTTACTGTGCCTGCTACGGGTAACTTACACCAGCTTCACTAAAATCTTCTGCAACCACTTCGGGCTTCATAGTTTAACATCTTAGTTGCAGTATGTCGACAAGGACATCAGTTAACTGTGTGTCCCCATTGGATTTTATTTTGTTACTCTACCAGAACACAGTTTTAGAAGTTGGTCTTTGCTATGGTGAAAGCTCAATCCCAGCTTTTATAAGTGCAGTCATGAAAATTATTGTATTACATCAAGAAATTATTCCAGGCAATTTGGGGCACATACATGTACTTGAGACAGAGTTTTAAATTTTGAATGCAAATTGAAACAGACCCTTTTGGTTAGTTTAATAAAACTTCAACTTGTGTCAAAATGAAAGACTGCTCAGACTCAACATTAGCTCGGGATTTAAGTTCAGTGACTGACTCACGTTCACATTGCATTACTACTGTATTTTCAATAGTACGAGAACCATACTGTAGGTCTGTTAATCATTATATAGACCCTATTCTACAGTTCACAGGAGACAAAAGGCAGCTTCTGACCTGGTAAAAAATCATTATTATGGCTTCCATGTTGTACATTTTAAACACACATAGTTACCATGTACACAAATACATGTACACCAATTAATAAACTGTACAAGTGATACATGTAAAAGTTCTATAACAAAGTCAAGATTTTGAATGCACTGCCCTGAAAGATGCAAACGGACATGTCTTTTAGTCTTTACAATAAATTTCTGCTGTTTTTAGATGTGCGCTTGTGTAAAGGCTCAAATCATATACTGTACATTAGGCTCTTGGATTTGATGTTGGGGAACTTGGAATGAATTTCAGGCCTGACGGACCTTGCATGAATAGAAAATTTATTCCAAGCTCACACTTGGAATCATGTCTGCACTTTTTGGTATGGAATTGAGTCTCTGTAACAACTAATTCTATTTTTCATCTGTGAAAACTGTAACTTTACAGAAAACTTTAGAAAGCATGCAATCACTTTCAGGAAAGTGATTAATTTGACACCAAATGTTGGTTTCCCACGTTTTTCACGATGCTGTTAGCACAACTTCCAGATGTTACTGGAATAAAAAGAATAAAAAACCTTGGAAATCACTCAAGCCACCCTTACTAAAAACATACAATCTGAATTTGCTGTTTGCTCAACAGCTAGCGGTAAAGTTGGACATATGTGCAGAATGACACATTTAAGCAAACTTCCAGGTCACTAAGGTTCAATGCCACACATTGGAGCTGAAAGTCTACCACAAGTCAATTACTCAAAGGGCCACTCATCAAGTGCTTTTGCAAGAAACTATTAATTAAATGAAGACAAAATGATCCTGCATCATCCGGTACATGAATGACACAGATTTCCCTTAAATTTAAGAAACGGATGTAAATTACTGGTGTAATTTACTGGGTACTTAGTTGCAAATGGAATATGACAGCATGATGGGTGGCCGTTCGGAGCAAACATACAAAGAGGACCCGATCGTTAACTAACTTAACTTTTGCTACACTGTCAGGATTAAGCAAACATGCACTATCTAATCCACTACGGTATTTATGCACATTATGTCCTACAGGGACATCAATAAATTAATATTACGAATTCATAACTACCTAAAACAATTCACCATTCCTACTGATCAAGAGCACATCTCGTCACTGACAGAGAGCACCAGCTGTCTGATCCTAAACACTTTCCTGGTGTCATATGAAATTAAGACTCCTATGAAATATATTTGCTCATGAGTCCCCATTTTGCAAGTTCCAAATTCACATGACACTGGCTCATCAAATTCTGGACAGCCTCATGCAGTACGCGCCACACGTGCAGCAATATCCATATAAGGAAACTGTTTATGACTACTCCTGAGAGGCACATCCCATAACATGACTATTAAGGATAGAACCTGGGAGGGGGGGGACCAAAATTGTTTTTTGGGCACCCAAAAAGATAGCATGTACATGTAATCTTTTCTGGCCTTTCTGAGGTGTAAGACCACATATTGGGGCTTTACACACTTTTTGAAGGAAGGGAAATATTTATGAACGAGAATGTATACCGGTATCTGCTTGTTCATTTAAGACTGGCTCAGGAAAATGCCAACTGACAATGTCCCTTACCCTTCAGCTCAGGCATTACCAATGTCTATTTTCCTGATCTGGTTATAACTACAAGCCAAGCACATGTCCAGCCATCAAATCACAAACACTCTTTCATTAACTGTAGGTAAATCTCTTCATGGAGGCTTGGTAAAACAATGAAAGTTGCTCAAACTACAGAAAATGTGATCCTTTTCATTAAACTTAAGCGCCCTCAATACAAAGACAGAAAACAAAACAGTATTTGCAGAACTAAAAAGTTCAGATGAAAGATTTACTTTTGCAACTTGGCACAACTAAAATTTGCTGCCAGTAGCACCGTAACATGTCCATTTACACAATGTAGGTCAGACTTCACAGTTTATGTGCATGCACTTTCATCAACTGAGTCCATCTGCATAAAACTGCCAAGGAAAATTTATCATGGATACACCTAGTTAATGGAAGCCAGTTGTTTCAACCAGTAATCCAATGTGGGTTAAGTATAAACTTATGGGTGGACTGACAAATGCCCAGGAAATGCGAAGTGTTATTGAAGTAAGCCGTCCACTCAGGCTAGACAAAAAAAGGTACATTAAATGCAACACACACACCACAACCTTATGTTTTATCAATTTTGTCCAAAGTGACTGCTGTGGAAATGTTGGAAATTGGATTCAAATCAGTCCAGTTGCCAATAAGCTTACTTTTTTCTCCAATCCTGTGGCTGAACCCTTCAAAAGCAGAAGGGGGTGTCCTGCACTTACTGATGGAAAACGTGCATTAAATAATACCTGGTGAGCAAATTGAATTTACGGACTGCCGGTGAACCTGATGAAAAGCAGTCCTTCTGCGGGAAAGAGAGTCTCATGAAGGAATTCAAATTGACCTAGTTTTTGCGGACTAGGCATATGAAGCCAAGCAAGCAAGCCTTGGTGACAGTACACTGAGTAAGGTAGCAGCTGTTTGTATATCAGGCAACTTGGTCTGTATGCCAGGCTGAGGGGAATTCTAGGAACAGGCTGGGGCCAACTATCTGGGTCACAGACACTGAGACTAGGCTGGGCAATTCATGGGGATGAATGTATTATGGATTATACACCATGCATGACAGTAACAATCCCCAGGATGAAATAATGCAGTCATGGGGAATGAGTCTAATACTTGGCTTACAGACAAGAAAAGGGAGACTGAGAATTTAGGATGCAGACAGGTATTTGGGAGGGGACATGAATCAAGACACCATGGGAGCATGGATGACAAAAGTAACATCTGAAAAAAAAAATAACACAGGAGAGAAAAAGAGATGAATAAATATTGTACCAGAATAATTAAATTCGTTGGAGGACAACTTAGCTCATGGGCAACAATTTAAAGGAGAATCATAATACAGAAAATCATGAGAGAGACAAACTTTGTCTTAAGGAGGGTCATAAAATTTGAAATGGAGCACTGAAATAAAATCAACAAGGTGGAAGAATTACAGAAAGTGAAAATGAATTTCTGACAAAAATTATCAAGTAATTTAGAAGACACACTCGAATTTATTTAGGAATTTTACAAGCAAGGATAAATGATTGTAAAAAAAATTTGGTTCATGGGAAATGCATTTTTAATGAAGATAAAAATGATTTTTCTAAAGAGTTTTGTGACTTTTGAATGGGACCATTCGACAAGATCACATCTAAATAAATAAACTAATCAGAGGAAGGGAAACACTCTGTTGAACCAAATTCCTCAATCAATTAAAGGCAACTAACTGTACATGTATGTCACTCCTCTTTTACAGTACTGCTCACATGCTTTGTGATTTTTCTTTTCCTGCCAAAAAATGCCAAGCCCTAGTTCCGTAGAAACTGGAGCTCAGAGTGACTCGGATTATACGGTCGACAACCCTTAAGGCTTATGAGTTTGTATTTCACATGGCCTAGATACACTAATCCGTCTCGTCATAAAGTAAGCATGGCAACTCAACAGAGAACCTAAACAAAAAAAAGAAGTTTCTTTGCCATGGCTGTCTCAGGTTTAGTTTCAACTGCTTAGTTCAGGAATTGGAGGGGGGGACGTGACATGAATCTCTAGCAAAGGCTTTACTGAGAGGTCAATGGCAGGTAGAGGTGTCGGAGGGATTATGGGTCTTGGGCGTCTTGAATTACAGAGTAAAGTTATTGAGGCTAGCTGTCTATCAGGCTGGGTGTAATATCATTCACTGGTGTACTTTTGTGTTATGAGTGGCTCAGCAGGAGACCAGAGAATGGCAAGTCTGTGCCAATTATTAATAAACTGTTTGACCTGATTTGGTAAATGGACTGGGATCACAGCATATCCCTGAGGATAGGAAGGGGATGACTGATAGAACTGGGCTACCGGTACATTAGTGTGCCTCAATGTTAGCAGGTCTAGGCTAACACTTTGCACTTGCCAAATATTGCTGTTTACAGAAAGCATTGCTGTATCATCAATTGTTTGAATGATTTATCTCAATATACATGACACTACAAAGAGTGTAGTATTTTAATTAAGAGAAAACATTAATTGTAAGTACCAGTAGGGAGTTACATGTGAACATTTAAAAATTACTGAAGATTTATTTCAGAAAATGCACATATTGCTTACTAAGATTATAATCCGACTTTTTGTTCATTTTTCTCCTGGGGGCAACTGTTTTTTAAAAAGTCTTACAAGTACATGTATGTCCTGAACTTCATATTCATTGCAGAAGCATCAGTTATGATAAACAAGAAAGTGACTTACTTAAGAAAACTTGTTCACTAAAGATCAGAGGTCAGGTACGGACTTACCTTACACCATGGAACAATATCTTGGAAGGCAAAGTTAAACTGCTCTAGGTTTGTCACCACACATGCAAACAACAGCCAATTCAACAAGTTGCAAAAATGACTGTCAGGATCACCGTATGCTGGGACAAACTAAGCCAGACCCAGAGTTCCTCAGAGAAATCTGTCTCCACTCCGAAGCACAAAAACAGCCAAACCGCAAGAACCAAGTGGTACGGATACGTAGTTGCCGGCTCTCTCTTGTTCTCTCTGCAATCCAGAGCACTAGCAGGCAGTGTTACCACAGCCAATGACTGAAACCACTGCTGCCAGTCATTTACATGTACTTGAACTAGGTGACTTGTGATTAAAACTGGTGGCCTGAATCTAGCTTGACCTCCAAGTCAGTAGGCACAGTACCTTGTCGTGAATCCACATAAACTAGTAAGTAATCGACCTTTGGAACCCAAAATATTATGACTGCATTGCCTACATGTACGTGTATATGAGGAAAACCAGATCACCCTGTGTGTGCGGGTGTACTGGACTGGTTTAGTATGAACCACAGCTAAACCACAATAAACTTTACTTCACCTTTTGCAAAATCACCTTTGAGCCTAAACTAAGTTATGGCTTGCATAGGTCATTAGGTGTGATTGCTGATAACACATCGACTGCCAGTGGTTTATGAAGAGCCCTATTTGGGGGCTTTGAACTGAGCATGCCCGCCTGATAGCAGTACACGTGATTGCCTGTGCGTGCGAACACAAAAAAAAGAGAAGACAATTTGTACTTTAAACTGTGTCAATTAAACGATATCATGCAGACAATTTGCGTCATTGCAGGCACAGAATGTAGACATCATCAACCCCTCCATATTGCAAAATAGTACCAGGTGAATTAACTTCTCAGCACATCAAGTATCAGAAGCATGGATGTCCTGTTCCTTTTGACCTACTGTCCTTTCCATTTTCAACACGTACTGGGTATCTCATCTTGCCAATGAGGTCTGGCAAAATGAGACAAAAATAATCAGGTGTCTAACGTGCACTTTTTAAACTTTTAATACTGATCCAAATTTTTATATGACCATGAACATGTACCTTTCACAAAGTTAGGGCTTAAATTGAAATAGTCCTGTTTCATTCCATTTCACAGTGAGACCTTTTCACTCATTGAAATGTTTTGGGTCTAATTATTGGCCTCATGAATGTAATTCAGAGAAACGAGCAATGAAGCATCAGTGGAAAATGAACAAATTTATTCATCAGAACATCACACAGAATAAAGGGACAGGATAAAGATGTACTGTTTTATTTTCTTACGGTAAGTTTCTACCCCTTTTTGATGTGAAAAGGGCATGCAAGTCAAAAATGAGTGAAAGGGTCTGGCAATACCCATCTTCACCTCCAAGCCCACCCTGATATAACACAGCAAACATAACTGTGAAAAAATCACATGTCTACAACAAATGCATCCCATCTTTCATTACTAGCAACGCCCCCTCCTGGGGGCCAAACACTGGACAAGGTGACAAAAGCAAAATAAAGAATTGCTTTAAAAGCATGAGTCGTACTCTGACACACATTTGAACCTTGCACTACTTTGCTTACAAAGGCCCATGTGATTACAAGTGTTTGTTTTTCACATCAAGCATAGCTATCTTGAGTAATTAAGATACAGAACACAAGCACTCAGCATTACTTGTGGACATCAACGATTCACCTGTTCATTCTTTGCACATAAAATGCAAAACCTTTCTACAGTTGGCACATTTGTGTAGTACTAAAGACAAGTAAAAATGAATTGATGTACACTAATGTTGCAATCATGTCACTAACTTGACTGAATAACTTCAAGTTGTGCATGTTATTTTGTGTTATACATTCAGATGCTGGTACTTTGTATTACTTTGAACATGGTATATATTCGTTTCAAGAAATCAGGTAAAATGATTCATGATTTCACACAAATTTAATCAAAACTTTATTTGGGGGTACCTTTTCTCTTACCTACATGTACTTCTTTTTAATACATACCTGTAAATTTTAAATCATTTGGTTAAAAAATTTCCAGAGTTCAAAGAAAAGGTTCATTGTCTTAGTTCTACATGGCTTATCAGTAGTTCTACATGTCTTAGTTGTATGGCCAGCTGATCTACCGGTAAGATCAGAAACATGTCACGCACACACACTCCATTATAATTTATCCTAGTAGTGACAGCTTAGCGCGTGTTTAACTTTGAAAAACAAAGAGATCTAGAACGAAACAAACCAACTCTGAACCTCTAAAAATAGAGTCACACCAACCGATGAGCGAAATATACAGATAAATACGTATACATAAATATAAAAACCGGGTCAGAATAACTGCCTGCCTTTGTCTTGGCCTAGATTCTGGCTGACCCACTTTCTCTGATCCATCGGCCTCACTTCATCCTGACCTACTTAAGTTGCGACTGAGTGGCTAGCCAGCTTTTACTCACTGGCCGAGGGATGCTTGTTACCCGCCACGGTAACTTCAGCTGTCTGTAACTAGACCAAGGCTCTCCACTACTACGCAAGGGGGGTGGGGAGGGGAAAGGTATGCTTCATGATGTGATTCTGATCATGTATGTATGTAGGCTGCGGTGACAAACATGCATCGCTCTGGATGGATTTGCTCACATGGGTGAGCATGCGCATGCATGCCGCGACGTATTATTAAATGAGCAACGTGCATTGCTCCAGCTCATGTGGGTCTTTATCAGACAGCGGTAGCTGGAATTTCTAGGGCGGGCAGACAGCCAGGCGGGAGTGATTATTAACGTGACCTGATTTTTTGACCTGATTTCGTCTTGGCTGGTTATCTGATGATGAGGGGTGTTCACGTTATGATCCACCACTGCCGAGGGCTGTTTCCGATTTATATTGTTTTTATCGATGACAGGGATTGGCAAAGCCAGGGTGGCTACAAAAACCATTGTTTGGTAAGAAAGCTGAGGCTCCACTGTCATGCACAAAATGGAAGTAGGTTAATTAAACATACATGTACATGTACATGTACATGGAGAAGACTGCTGTCCCACTTACATGTACTACTTACTAAAAATCCTTCTATGTACATGTACTTAAATACATGTACGATTACTGTTTGTCTTTCTCAAGTGTTGTCACTTGAAGGGTTTTCAGCCATATCCTAAAAGTTGTACAAGTATCAGTAGATGCCAGTTACCATCATGTGACCAGAATTATTTGAAACAAACAAACATACATGTACATGTAGAACAGTAAAGAGAAGAAAACGGAAGTCCATGGTCATAATCCTTTAATATTAAAAAAGAAGAGTTTTTTTTACTGCAAACACAGCGTGACCACAGACAGACAGTTGGACTACCCAATTGTTTAGACAGTTCAGAAAATGAGGTCAGCTAAGCTCTAGGTTGTTGACATGTGTTATTGTACACCCACAGCAGGACCATGCCAGCGTGCTGTGCCATGCTGGTTTTGTGCTGTTATGGCCGGACCACTGTGCTTGCTGCTCTGTGGGTACAGCATTCATTGTGTGTTTAATCACACTCAGTCTTCTTGTACACCATTAGAAATGGCTGG